GGCTGGCTTGATAGGTAGCATGCAAGGACCAAGGTCTTTTGACAACACACTGTTGGCTGCAGATCCCAATGGCTATATCCGCTGACTTTCTGTCACTCTGGCATACTGTGGTGGTGTGCATGTTGTGATACTGGAGGTTATGCCTCTATTTCAAAGACCAGCAGGATCACCCATGGTGGAAAAGCTTCTGCAGATCTTCTAGACTAAGAAAGATGAGGAAGGAAGAGCTGGAGCTCCACCGTTGAAAAACTGGCCAGTGAAAGCCCTGTGACCAGCAGCAGGGCACTATCTCACAGTGCTGTATGTTGAGCCCCTCAAGTTAGAAGTACTTGCAATATCACTGGGAAAGAGCTGCTCAAGCCTCAAAACAGTGTTTACCGTAATGATGTGGATGGAGGGCAGCTTTCAGGACCCTCATCTGCCACAGGGCACGGTTCAGAATGAGAAGAAAAGCTGCAAACATCCATGAATAGTCAGAGCTTGGGGTGTATAAGGTATGAATCTAGGAAACTTGGAAATAGTGAGAAATGGAATGGAATGGAATGGAATGGAATGCATAAGACTGATATCTTTGCTCTGGAACTTGGTGCTGGTTTGCTAAGAAATGGCTACACGCACCAATGAAGTTGGGGCTTCAGTAAATACAGGCCCCGTTAGGGTGCCTCCATCAGGAAAATGGAAATTAGTCAAGAGGGCAAGTACTTGCTCTTTCTGAGGCAAAGCCAAAATGAAGAGACAAGCTGTGGGGGAACTGGCACTATGGTTCTGTGGACCTACACCACCACCTGTGCACTCAGGGTGAAGCCGCCGTCAGAGATGGAAGGAACAGAAAGACCAGTAGAAGCTACCTCATTTCAAACATCTCTAGCCTATAATAAAGAGTTAACTTATGTAAGAAAACCCCCTGATATACTATGTAAGAGCATGCTGAGATGACAGGTCCTTTCCATTCTAAATTGGACAATCATATAGTCTACTATGCTGGGAATACTTCATCAAAAAGAACATTTCAAACTGCTTTGAAGTAGAATGCTGTCAGTGATCGGATAACATCGACATGCAAACAAGGCCTATAAATATCACCAAGGCCAAAGCCAGTCCTGTTGTCCAAGCTGTCTCCTGTGTGATTTACTGCCTCTGAAAACCTACTGGAGGGTTAGCTAGGAGTTGCCTGCAACTTGATGGCACATAACAACAATCTACTTCTACATTCTGAAAATGGTCAAACATGCAGTCAAGAGGCATTAATAATTACCGGTGATTACACTGTGAAAGATGGAAATTAAGAAAGATGGTAGTCTGCAAACAGGGCACTTGGTGAGAGAAGGAACAGTGATCTTCATGGGCCAGTGCTTCAGGCTCACCTCCTTGGATTATTTGCTTGGCATACAAATGAAAGAAACATGGTAAAAGGATACAACCTTGGTGTACACTTTCTCGATTTTAAACCCCATTCCGTCCTTGTAACTGGCCCTTGATGTGTGTAACAGGAGGAGGCTGACCATCTTTCTCCTGCAGAACTGCTGGTGGATAGGTGCTATCAAAGATGTGTGACCTTTGGGTTAGCAGCACAGCTCTTTTCAGAACAACTTCACTAAAGTTCCCTTCCTTATTTGGGCCTGACGTTGCTGTTATATGCCTTGAGTTGGAAGTGACTCATAGCTGACCCTCCACATGGTTTTCAGAGGTTGTAAACTGCCTGGGAGGAGATTGTCTATCTTTCTTCTGCACAGCACCTTGTGGATTTGAACTGTGTGCCTCTTGTTTGGTAGCACAAGTCCTTACCACCAGGCTACCAGAGCTCCCTTATTTGGGCCTCCTCTTGTTCTTGTGTGTCGTTGAGTCAGAACCATTCCAGAGCTGACCCTCCAGTGGGTTTTCAGAGGCAGTAAACTGCATGGGAGCAGACGGCCCACCCCTCTCTTGTGGAGCAGCTGGTGGCACTGCAGTGCAGCTTTTTTCTGATTGTCATTGTATAATTTTGTAAATGGTCCTTTTTATGAAATTCTCCTCAAATAATCCTAATCAGGATTATTAATTTCTTGTTGATATCCAGGCTGGTTCCCTCCTCGTTGCTGTTGTAATTGACTCATGGCTGACCCTCCACTGGGTTTCCAAGGCTGTAAATCACACAGGAGGAGGAGACTGCTCGCTTTTCTCCACTGGAGTCGCGAGTGGATCTGAACCATGAGAGGCGATGCCTTTGGGTTTGCAGGGTAGCTTCCTAGACCTATGCCACCAGAGCCCTTTTCCTGACTGACGAGGTATTTTAGAACTTGAAGCCAACACAGTCACAGTGATGGCATTCTTGTTTCCCAAATGCCAGAAAACTAAAATACAGGCAATTCCAGGTCCACTTTCCACTTGAAGGTGTACTGAAGTCACTGTGTCTGTAGGGAGGGAGGCTGGTTTTGATGTCATGGAGCAGGAAATACACAGCGTAAAACATGTGTACGTGTTTTCTGGGCAGCTGCCAAAGGCTCTTTACATCTGAATAACCTTTACCCAGAGGCTGATTACCCAGTAGACAAGGGAAGAGTGGGTTTACTTTTACTTGTTTACTAGTCTGTAGGGAACAATCTCACATGAGTTTCACCATATCTGTGGTCCAAAACATGGGAAAGTGTTCCCTTTAGATCAGTAAGAATGCACAAACAAGCGTGTGCTTGCCCTGTTGATTGGGTAACCGGACACTGGCCTTCAAAGTGCATAATATATGTTTATATACTTTTTAAATTCATAATAATCCTGTGAGGTAGGTCTAAAATGTTCACTTTATGGATGAGATTGGGTCTGAATCAGAAGTGGGAAATAACTTGCTCAAGTTTGCAGCCAGGAGCGGAGCAGGAACAGAAACCAGATCTATAGACTCAGATCCTGTGGCGTTTTCATTCCCAGCACCGCCCTTCCCTCCATGAATCAAGTACAGGCCGGAAGGATGAACGGAAAAGAGAAGGAAAAGGCAAGAGGAAGGGGGATTTGCTGTCTTTCTTAACCGCATCTAAGAGTTTTCTGAAATTCCTTTAACATCTCAGAAAAGCCACAAATCCTTAAAAAACCCAACCCAACAGCTTGCAGTAGCCTGGGATTCCAGAATAAATACTGAAATTGGCAGGACACAGAGTATCCTTCCTCTCAGTGGGTCACGTGGGGACATTGCCTAACATCCGTCATGTGTGTGTCTGGGAATATACAATATTTATGTCTCATCAAACCCTCAGATGCCTTGCTCCTCTGCCAAGGAGAACTGCTGTGTCTCACCTTCTGATCTAGTCTAAAAATGTCATCAACATCTGGCCCTAAAGACCTAGAAATTCTTTTTAAGTAGTGGAGGCGTGAGTACCCTCCCAGCCTCCTAAGAGAACAGCTCAGATGAAATCATGCCAAGGATTGAGTAAATGGGAGGTTGTTTTTATTTTATTTTTTTTTAAAGTGGAAACTATAATGCTATGCTGTGACCGCATTTTCACAATACTTCAGGGGTGGGAGGGTGGCCCCTCAGCCTGGATAGGCTGGAAAGCTATTTTGTTTAGGTGAAACACAGCCCAGTTTCAAGAGTCAAGACCCAGTCATAAGACTCACTGGAGTCAAACCCTGGAACCAGTCCCAACTGCCTCTGGGCAGCTGTGCCTCTGCTCCAATAAAACCACCTAGAACATGTGCAGATGGAAAAAAACAAAGCAGAATCCAGCACATCTCAGGAAACTAATCTGTAAATCCAGTTTAATATCTGATCTTGTTCCCTTTTTTTTGAATCCTGTTTGAGAGCAACTGAAGGTGGCATTCACTATCACATGAGTCAGTGTCGTGAAATTACTAATTTTAGAATTAATTACCAGTTCCTGTTGTTGAAAACAGCTGATTCCTACTCAGAGAAAACTGTAATGTGTAGAGAGGCAAATTACAAAATAATTTTTGTGGAGGAAAAGTTCATTAACATAGGTGATGAAGACAGATGTAGATCTGTGGTACTGAGATTACAAATGATTCCCTTGTTATTTTTGTGTTTTTTTCTTTTTTTGCAAAGAATAGATGCAAAATTGTTTAAATAAGATTTTAGAAAAAGTTATTTTTTGGGAATCCCTTCACACTTAAATGAGATAAATGCATCTCAACTGTGCTTATCTGTCATGTGACCAAAATGATCTGAAAGGGTTTGAAAGACAAATCATGGAAAAAAGGGACACGCAGAAGATTCTTTTATTCCTTTTTTTTTTAAAAGTCCAAGACTTTCCAATAATTTTAGTAAGCCTAGCATCGCCTTTTAAGTAATATATACCTATTTTTAAAAGGTGGTTCCATTTGGCCTTTTAAGATATTGAAAATTACTAAAATCCGCTCCGCTGAGAGGGAGCCCTGGTGGCACAGTCTGAGGGGGGCTGGCTGCTAACTGAAGGGCAGCATCTCTCTGGCTGAGAGAAAGATGGGCAATCTCTTCCCATGTGACGTACAGCCTCTCAGAAACCCACTGGAGGGTCAGCGGGGAGTCAGTTCCAGTCAGGCAGCAACGAGTTTGAGAGTTTTGCACCTATTTGAGAATGGCAATAAGAGGAATAGTATTCCCACCTTTCATTTTATCAACATGAACGATTAAATGATGAATCTTTTTTATTGCTATGTGAGTGAAAGTTTACAAAGCAAATAGGTTTTCCACTCTCCCTTCCCATCCATCCTCCTGGCCTATTCCTTTCTGACTTCTAAGCTTTATCCCTGGGCAAATGCTGTCCTTTTGATTTTTTTTTTCTTAATTAACTAATTACAGTGGCTAATCCACCACTTTGAGGTTTGAATCCACCAGCTGCTCTGAGGGGGATTTACAGCCTCAGGAACCATAAGGGGAAGTTCTAGACTGTCCCGTACATGCCACTGTGTCTAGCTAGTGAGTTCAACTCCAATCCACTACTGTTGATTGAGTTAATCTTCATTCATGGTGACCCTCCAATTGGGCGTCCAAGGTTGTAAGTCTTAATAGGAAGAAAGAAAATCATTTGAAGACTCACCTTGCCAGTAGGATCCCCTGGTACTCTTCCAGTTGTCTCATGAAGCTGGGGTTGGGCTTGGTCACTGTGCGTCTTTCCTTCACATAGTCATAGGCTCGGTCCAGATTCCAGCCGTACTCCTTCATTGCATAGGCGATCACTGTGGAGGCAGAACGACTCACCCCCATCTTGCAGTGCACAAGGCATTTAGATCCATGTTTCCTAGTGTGTGAAGATCAAAGGTAAGTTACAGTGGGAAGAAGTTACCATGAGTACATTTAAAAGCTAAGTTCTAAAATTTTTCACGTCTCCTTCCTATGCAGTTCTTCCTGCTGTGGTGTTAGTACACATTCGTAATCAAACGTGTGGAGAGGCCGAGCAATTCTTGTTACTGGTGAGAACTGTGGAGTTGGAACCGACCCATAGCTGACCCTCCAGTGGGTTTTCAAAGGCAGTAAATGACACGGAAAGAGACTGCCCATGTTTTTCCCATGAAGTAGCTGGTAGCGGTTGGCAGTGCAACTCCTTACCACTAAGCCATGAGAGCCCCCTAAGCAGTTCCAATGTACTTTTTTTAGGGAAGAAACATCACTATTTATTTTCCTGCAGGTACTGTTTTCTATTGCATCAACATCGTATCAGATTAAAACCAAAAATGTTTAGAACTGGATCACCTGGCCCTTTCTCTTCTTATCTCCTCCCAGTTTTTTTTTTAAAGGAACACTTCACGAATTTGCATATCATCCTTGCACAGGGCCCATGCTAATCTTCTCTGTATCATTCCAATTTTAGTATATGTGCTGCCAAAGCGAGCACTCTGGTGTACTCTTAATATTCAGCAAATATTTACGATGTATAAGATAACAGAAGGCACGGGGTGCAAAGGTAACTGATCTACAGTATTTGTCTTGAAGGGTAAGATCCAGTGGGAGAAATCTAACACGTTAAGTCACGAGGCCCTGTGATGTGTGTGGAGGCAGCCGGTGCCCTCAGAGCCCCAGGGGCATGTCTCATGGTGGGCACTCTCTTGAGTTACAGGAATGGTAGTGATTTATCTAATTTATTCAGACGAACAACACATCCAGTTCACGTTCCAGTAAGGGTTCTGCCTCTGCAGGAAAGCAAAAACGAAATTGAACCAATCCTCCTTTCTAGTCAGAGGTAGCCCTGGATATTAACTTTCATAAAACCACAGCCAGTGTCCTGTCTAGGGACCGGCTATAGAGCCAGCCTGTGGAGCTGGATGTGAACATGCCATCAACTGCACAGCTTTTTGCATGTTAAGGGTGGAAGGAACGAGAACTGCTTCTTGTTGCTATTGTGTTTTCTGTTTAAATGAGGTACGGGTTTTAAAAAAGGAGAAGCACCTATCTAAAAATAAAAACGAAAAAGAAAACCCCTCAGTCTGAACATACCAGAGCTCACTGCCTTATATGTGAACATTATTAAGTTAGGCTAATAATGTGGTGTTAGGCACACAGTAGGCTTTCAAATACTTGCTGAATATATGAACAACTTCATGGGTCTACTGATTAATGTAAGCTACCAGCTGCTTAAGTAGGAACAGCAGTTTAGAATCTGGGAAAGAACTGTTACTCTTATCGCAAGTGACACAGGTTTTGGAATCCTTCCCGAGTAGCTATTCCAGTAAGTGAAAAAGCACGCTTGTCAGCACACTGGGGAAATCTTCTATATATGCACTCACTTCCTGAAAATGGTAGATAAGCTTCCTTCTAAAAGCCTATAATCGTGTGGCTGGAAAGACACAAGAAAGAGTTAAGTATCAATGCAAGGAACTATGAGGTTAAATGCCAGAGTGAGCAAGCCAGATAAGTTTCAGGCTTGCCAAGGATAGTCTGGAAAAATGGAAATGGTCTCAAAGGGAAGTTTAACATTAACTGCCTACTTATAAATTACGTATACAATTTTGATGTCTTGAGGTTTTGTTTCTGTTTTTTTTTTTTTTTTGTGTTGTGTATATTTGTGGACTTAAATGATCCCAAATGAGTAGGAAATAGGTACTCGTTTTGTTTCGGGCATGGTGCTTTCTTTTAGATGGCAGCCTGGCGGCCAATGCACAGTGACTCAGATGGACGTTTAGACACATGCTCTGTATTTTCCCTTCAAGCTCTGACAACCTTAATGCACCAAATTTGAGATCTATGCCTACAGGCACAGAAAGCGCTCACACTTGGACAATCCCAAATTCTTATTTTGAAGTGAACTGTTCAGGGATGATGTCTAACTCATGTAATGAAGGAAGTTAAATTCTTATCTAACCCAAGTCTACCCTTTCAGGTTAAGCAAGCCTAGCAACACTTAAGCAATCTTAAACCTACCAGTACATATGATTTAGATTTTAGGGTTCTGATTAGTCTTGGACACAAGAGATGAGCATTATTCAGGCTTTGAGGAAGTACTTATTCTCAGGCTTGTACAAAGTATAGGCTGGCCCCAGAGAGGCAGTCACTCTTTAAATGTTGTACCCTGGGTGCCTCAACTGAGCCCTAGTCATAGCAGCCCTTCTTTTCACTGGGACTGGGGCCTTATTTTTGTTCCCGCGACTCTGATAAATGGCCTTGCCTTTCCTAATCTCCTTTGAGAAGGGAGTGCTGGTGGCATAATCTATAGAAAGTTGTACTGCTACTTCAAAGGCCACACCTCTCTGGTGGTTTGAATCTACCAGCTGCTCTGAGGGAGAACAGTGGGTCATCTCCTGGGATTTACAGCCTCGGAAATCCACTGGAGGCTCAGCTCTGAGGTTCTGACTCACAGTGAGGAAGTCTGTCCTTTAGGGAGTGGGACTATTCCTACACACTTGATGGCTCTCATATTATGTTAGGTTCATGTCCTGTTTTCTCATGTGTAACTTAACCTCTCTGAACATCTATACTGGAGGATGACAGTATTGGTCTAAGTTTTGGAATAGATTCCATGAGAAAATGCAGGTTAAGTGCCTAGAACATACTGAGCAAGTCATGAGAGGCAGTATTACTGGGAATTATGTACTAATAAACTGTAAGAACATAAAATGCTCTTTTAGATGCTGGCTAGAGATGGAAAGAATGGACTCAAGATAAAAATATGAGTTTTTCAAGTTAACGAAAAGAAAAAAATAAAATCTTAACCATGAAGATTCTTATCTTCAAGATTCTTGAAAAGAGTTGTGAAATCATTCAAGGAAAACTTTAAAAAAAATGAAAACTTAAAGGCACACAGTTTGAATCCACCAGGTGTTCCACCAGAAGGAGGGACAATCTCCTCCTCTGTCAGTCAGATCCAATTTGACAGCATACAAATTAAAAAAAAAAAAGGAAAACTTAAAAAAATAAAAAAAATACTTACCATCTTTTAGGAATGGTTTTAATGTGGCCCACCTCGAGGGTGAACTATGATCATTTACTTATAGTTCCTTTTGATGAAGGAATAAATAGGGTGTGGAGGGAATTAAAAGTATCCTAATACCAAAGCACTAAATGAATACTCAACTAAAGGTCAGAACTAAAGGGCCAATTAATACATCAAAGGAGTATCCAGAGAAAAAGTCACCATTTAGAGTATCCTAATAATAAAGAAAAAGAATGGAAAAAGATTTCCAAAGTTTATTACATTTATTTTATTGACTTCTAAGCGGAGGGTATAGTACTCCACCTTCTGGACTAATTTCTATGGCAACTTCCAGATCTCCCCACTGGCAATCTAAGAACTTAACTCAGAATTTCTTCTTTCATTTCTATTTCTCTTACTACAGCTTAAGCCTATTTCCTCTAGTGTTTTTTTTAAAATAATTTTAATGAGTATTTACAGAGATTTTGGATTTCCATTCATTCATTGTTGTACTTCTCTCCCTGCCCAGCCCTCCCCCTATTTCCTCTAGTTTTACGTTCAAAGAAAGCAGCCAACATGTGGTCACATTCTTCGCAAGGCTTCATTTACTTAATGGAAAAGTATTAATTAAGTCACTAGTGTTCCTTTCCCTAGAATAAAAAAAAAAATCCCAAGATCCTCTCTTTTGGTTTAACTTATTTTTCCTGGGTGCCACCAATAAGTTATCTACAGCCACCAGCCCCACCTACGTGTGGCGCAAGAAACGGAGGCCAGACACATGCATGGGACCACACTACTCACTTTGCTTTAGAGATGAACTTGTAAGTGTCATTCCAGTAGGCCAGGAGGTCTGTTGCCTCTTCATCATATACTCGGATGTTATGGTACTCAAAGACTCCTGGGAAAAAGTTATCAATCTCTCGGGTGACGTTCAAGATGTACCGCACCCTACAAGGACGGCAAGGGAGAATATGTGATCTACTGCTTTGGATAGACCCAATCCTCAGCGCTGCTTTGCTTATTTAAAGCCAGTCTATACCTGGGGCCAGAAGGAAATAATAAAACAATGAAGGAAGAGGGGAAAAAACCCCAAAACACAAATATCATTAAAAAGAATTAAAAACTCTCTACTATACTTAGTGTAAAGAATATACTTACTCAGTATAAAGTATACTTAGAACAAGGTCCGAGGCATACCTCGGGACCAAGCAGTTATTGAGAGAAAGGCTTTCTCCTGAGTTCATCATCTACATTCCATTTTCAGTTTGTGCATAGTTTATATAATCCTGTCATGTTTTATTCTAAAGAATCAAACGGAAGTTTATAACTTGATAATTTTTGTCATTAAAATTATCAGTAACATAATTCGTCTTTTAGAAATCACTTGTACAAAAATTAGAATACTGATGTCCTTTAAAAATGAAAGAAATGGAAAGAATATTTCTTACCCTTCCAATTGTCAAGTTCATTAGACTTTGCTTTATTGTTCTCTCTAAACTACACTGAAGGAGGAACATGAGGCCAGGGTTGGGAGGGTCAGAGCAAAGCTGGATGTGAAACTCTCTTAACCGCCTTTAACTTTATCTGGCTGCATTCCTGGCTGCTATGGGAGCAGATGCATCTGAGCGTTCTCCCATACTCGAGGCTTACTGAACAGTTTCTTTTTTTTTTTTCCTATAATTATATTTTATTAATTTTCATAAACATTTACAGAGATTTTGGGCTTCCACTCATTCATTGTTGCACTATTCTCTCTACCCTCCTCCCAGGGTGTTCTTGTCCAAATGCCACAGTGCTTGTCAAAGCCAGTACTGAACAGTTTCTGTATCAAAAATTCCTTCTGCTATCTCTCTCACTGCACAATGAATTTCAATAAACGCTTGGGTTTCACTTACGAATGGGCTACCTTCCCTTACTGCTGTGTGTACTCTGCTATGTGAAGTTACCTTAACAACACAGCACAGACCTAGTCATTATTCTCTGGAGATATTCCTTCTCACAACCACATACCAGGTTTTAAAAATGTCAAAGAAATGACTTCAAAAAGAATGAGCCACACCCAACTGAAAAATGGGCACAGGATATGAACAGACACTTCACCAAAGATGACATTCAGATGGCCAACATACACATGAAGAAATGTTCAAAATCCCTAGCTCTAAAAGAGATGCAAATCAAAACAACTATGAGATAGTATCTCACCCCAGTAACAATAGCAAAATTTAACAGAACAGCAAACATCAAATGCTGGTGAGGTTTGCAGAGAAACAGGAACCCTTATTCACTGTTGGTGTGAGTGTAAAATGGTGCAACCACTGTGGAAGGCTGTATGGCGCTTTCTCAATAAGTTGCAAAGACAAATAGCATTTGACCCAGCAATTCCACTACTAGGAAAATACCCCAAAGAAATCAGAACCACCACCCAAACAAATATATGCACACCCATGTTTATTGAGGCTTTGTTCACAACAGCAAAGAGTTGGAAACAGCCTGAGTGCCCATCAACAAACGAATGGATCGAGAAGCTGTGGTATAGTCATACATGGAGTACTATGCTGCACTGAAAAACAAGGAACTCATGAAATACTATACAAAATGGGTGACCCTGGAGGACATTATGCTGAGCGAAATATCTCAGTCACAAAAGGACAAATATTGCAGAGTGCCACTGTTGTAAAAAGGGACTGACATTGGGGTTGAGGGAAGACTGAGAAAAGAGGTGATAAATAATGTATACTGCACTGAAACAGACGAGGGAGAGACTGTTTAAAAGGGATATATGATAATCAGTGAAGTGGGGGAACGACAGCCTTTTTAACAAATGGTGTTGGCAAAATTGGAAAAATATCTGCAAAAGACTCAAGCAAGACCCACACCTCACTCCATACACAAAAACCAACTCAAGGTGGATCATGGACCTAGGACTAAAACCAAGGACTATAAAATTCATTACAGAAAACTAGGAACAACACTAGAAGTCCTAATCCACAACATAAACAGTCTTCCCAGTATCCTGGAAAAGCTACAACCAGGAGAAGATAACATAGATGAATGGGACCTTCTAAGACTCAAATCCCTATGCACATCCAAAAACTTCTCCAGTAGGGTAAAAAGGGAAGCCACTGACTGGGAAAAAGTATTCGGTAATAACATATCAGATAAGGGACTTATATCCAGAATTTATGAAATACGTGAGCACCACAACAAGACAAAGGTAAATAATCCAATAGAAAAATGGGCACAGGATATGAACAGGCACTTCACCGAAGAAGACATTCAGATGGCTAACAAACACATGAAGAAATGCTCAAAATCCCTAGCCCTAAGAGAGATGCAAATTAAAACAACTATGAGATATCATCTCACCCCAGTCAAAATAGCAAAATTTAACAGAACAACAAGCAACAAATGCTGGCGAGGTTGTGGAGAAACTGGAACCCTGATTCACCGTTGGTGGGAGTGTAAAATGGTGCAACCCCTGTGGAAAGCAGTATGGCGCTTTCTCAAAAAGTTGCAAATAGAGATACCATTTGACCCAGCAATTCCACTACTAGGAAAATACCCCAAAGAAACCAGAACCAACACCCAAACAAATATATGCACACCCATGTTTATTGAAGCTTTGTTCACAACAGCAAAGAGTTGGAAACAGCCTGAGTGCCCATCAACAAACGAATGGATCGAGAAGCTGTGGTATAGTCATACATGGAGTACTATGCTGCACTGAAAAACAAGGAACTCATGAAATACTATACAAAATGGGTGACCCTGGAGAACATTATGCTGAGTGAAATATCCCAGTCACAAAAGGACAAATATTACATGATGCCACTGTTGTAGAATGGGACTGTCCTTGGGGTTGGGGAGAGACTGAGTAAGATGGGTTCAATAATGTATACTGCACTGAAACAGAGGAGGGAGAGAACCGTTTAAAAGAGAGATATAACTGGGTATTTCTGTCATCACAGGAGACTAGAGCGAGGGCTACATGGTGGAGGGGACCTGGGGGAGGGTTTGTAAAACAATGAAAGAATCTTTTCTTTTACTTTTCCATAATTTTTGGACTCATGTACTTATAACTTGTTAGTCAAATTTGTGTCTTCTAGGTTGCAACACCCCCATGATACATCTTCAAGGATATGAACATGTACGGCCAAGCACAATCAATAAGAGTGCATCTAAATTCCAAAATCAATCTCCATAATAGTCTATGTGTTTCCTACTGCCAAAGGGGCCCTTTAGAGGAGTGAGAGAAGATCTTCACCCTGAAACCCACAGCGTCCCTTTTCAGCAGGAAGTAGCTAAGAGAATACGCCATCCCCTTTTCCTTATGACTCAGGGTGAAGTCTCTCTCAGGGAGGAGTGATAGGGAATGGCAAAGGACACACTGACAAAGAAGATTAATCAGAACTGGCTTTGACAAGCACTGTGGCATTTGGACAAGATCAAACTGGGAGGAGGGTAGAGAGAATAGTGCAACAATGAATGAGTGGAAGCCCAAAATCTCTGTAAATGTTTATGAAAATTAATAAAATATAATTATAGAAAAAAAAAGAGATATATGATGAGGTATTATTGTTATGACATGAGTCCAGAATGAAGGCTGCACAGTGGAGTAGACTTGGGGGTAGGGATTGCATAACAATGAAAGAATTTTTCTTTTACTTTTCAAAAACAAGAGCGAATTGGGGGGGGGCAGGGTGGGAAGGGTGAAAAGTACAACAATGAATGAATGGAAATTCAAAGACTTTGTAAACCTTTATTAAAATGAATTTAAAAAGTTACAGAAACAAACAAACAAAAAAGAACGAGTCACACTGGCTAACTATGAGGTCAAGGAGTAACGTTCTTGGGACAGGATTTGAATCTGTTTAAATTTATTATCAAAGACTATTACTAGAAAGGGTTAAAAGACTTAAAAAACAAACACCTGATAAAACTGTAAAAGGAAACACCTGCTTTTCAAAGTAGTATGGTGAATCTCCAAAAATTTAAACACGAGTTATCACATGATTCAGCAATTCCACTTCTAAGAAGAAATCAACCCAAGAGAAATTCTTATACACAAGTGTTTATAGTAGCATTTTTTTGTAGTAGTCAAAAAGGAGAAAAAAATCAATTATCTGTCAATGATGAGAAGATAATGTGACAGAATCTTACAATGGAGTATTATTTAGCAATAAAAAAGGAATGAAGTGCTGATACCTAATACGACGTGAATGAATGAAATGAAAACATGTAAGGTAAAAAAAGCCAATATGAAAAGACCATGTACTATATGATTGCATTAATATGAAATGTTCACAGTAGAAAATCAGTGATTGCCAAGGTTAGGCAAGGCTAGGTGCTGCCGAGTAGAGTACAAACTATAGTGACCCTATGAACCAGACCAGAACCCTGTCCTGTGTCTTGTTCACAATTGTTGACATACTTGAGTCCATTGCTACATTTATTGTGATAATACATCTAGTATTATCTAGTCTTCCTCTTTTTTGTCAACCCTTCACCTTTCCAAGCATGATGTCCCTCTCCAAGGAATAGTCTCTCCTAGCAACATGTCTAAAGAATGTGAGATGAAGTTTTATCACCTTTGTCACAAAGGTGCACTCAGGTTGCACCTTCTTCAAGAAATAAGCTTGTTCTTTTTTCTTCTTGTTGTGTACTGTGGAGTAGGATCTGGCTGGCACAGGAGGAGATTGTCTGTCCTTCTCCAGCGGAGCATCTGGTGGATTAGAACTGTGCCTCCAGGATTGCAGTACAGAAATAAGCTTGTTCTTTTGGCAGTCCATGGGACATTATGTACTCTTCTCCAACACCAGAGCTCATAGGCATCGATTCTTCTGTCATCTGTATTTATTGTTCAGCTTTCAGATGTAAAGGAAGTGACTGGAAAGATCATGGCCTGAATCAGGAGCATCTAAGACCTCAAACTCGTATCATTGCCTCTCAGTAATTTGGAGAGGTCCTTGACAATGCCTAACCCTAACTCGAAGCCCTTCTGTTGTTTCGAGTAGAAACAGACTAACTGGTGTACCTTGCATGGCTACTTGCAAGCTTTTATGACCCTATGCCCTGCACACTGAAGCAGGAGGTAGAACAGAAGCACTGAACTGTTATCAGGCCAACTAACTGGGATGTCCCATTCTACTATACCCTCCAAGCCAAGAACCAAATCCTAGGCAGTTGCTGGTTGTGCATAGGCAGTGGCTTCAGAAGTTACTTATTCTGATCATATACGTATCACCCAACTTTTGCCAGTTCAACTTTTTATAGGTGTATAACTTTTTGAGAACAATTAACAATAATCTCCTGTGCAGCTCTACTCTTTTTATTATTATTTTTGTGTGAGCGTACCATCAAATCAGACATTCCTCTAGGTCGTATAGCCCTGGTGTACAAGTTGCCATACAGTGGTAACTTGTGGTTGCTGTGACGCTGAACACTGTGACACTGATGTGTCAAATGTGTCAATGGCTGGTTACCCAATGCGGACAGAGAGTGGGGTGGAGCTCCCCGATTAAAACAAGCTTGGAAGGAGGAGTGGCATCCACTTCCGTAATAGCTTGCCTCCGGAAACCCTATGAACCTGGAGAGAGGATGAAAGACACCCAAGCATTGAGGACTTTCCTTCATAGGGTCACTATGAGTCGCCTGCGACTCGACGGCACTTAACAACAACACTACCAACATCAAATCAGATCTGACTGGTACAGGAGGAGATTGTCCTTCCTTTTCCAGCAGAGCATGTGGTGAATTCATACCGCATGTCTCTGGGATTGCAGTGCAGCTTCCTGCCAGGCCACCAGAGCTCCCTGTACAACTCAACTCTTAAGGAAGACAGTATTTCTATCACTGTTAATTCCCCTTCTTCCCCTCTCTTCTGATCTTGATAATTGCTAATAAACTTAGTTCTCTGTATGTTTACCTTTTCTCATCTTTTTATGTGAGTGAGGTCATCTTTTTGTGACAGACTTACCTACTCCATTTATATGCTGAGCAAATAATTCAAGAAGCTAGATTCTATAAGGAAGAATGTGTGATCAAGGTCAAGGGAAAACTCACCAACAACCTGTATTATGCAGATGATACAATCTTGCTTGCTGAAACACTTGTTACAGAAGAAGATCAAAGACTACATCCTTCAATATGGATTACATCTCAACATTAAGAAGGCAAAAAACTTCATTCTTGGGCTGATAAATAATATCATGATAGATGAAGAAAAGAGATACAACCTCAACAATCTCATCATATTGGGATCCACAAACAATACCCTTGGGACCAGCAATCAAGAATCAAAAGTTATGCTGCAATGGATAAGTCTGTTGTCAAGGCCCTCTCCAAAGTATTGAGGATAATGATGTTAGTTTAAAGACTCAGGTGTGCTCGATGCAGGCCATTGTCCTGTCCATCACCAGGTATGCTTTGAGTGAGTTGGACAACAAATAAGAATGAGAGAAGAACTGATGACTTTGAGTTGTAGTGCTGGAGAATTATGGACTATCCCATAAACTGCCAAAGGAACAGATACATCTTGGACAAAGTGCAGTCAGAGTGCTCTCTGGGGGCAAGGATGGCATGGCAAAGCTTCATCTCACATAGTTTGGGCATACTGTTAGGAGAGACTATTCCTTGGAAAGTAAGATCATGCTTGGAAAGCTGGAGGGTCAGTGAGAGAGAGAAGACCTTCAAAATTGACACAGTTACTAGAGCAATGGACTTGAGTATGTCAGAGATTGTAAGGAAGGCCCAAGATAGGACAGGGTTCAGGTCTGTTGCTCATAGGGTCGTTATGAGTTATACATGACAACAATAACAACGATAATATTTTGTTCACAGTATTTCTTAATATAAAAGAACCAACATTTGTTTGCATTAAAGTGGCACCAAAGGCTTACACAATTTCTCTGTAAAATCTTTCTAGTGAAACAGCTGCTCTTTATTAAGGGACGTTGTTATTATGTGCTGTCGAGCTGGAATCAAAAGCAGGTTTTTGGAGGCAGTAAATCACATGGGAGGAGGCCCTAGTGGATTTGAACTATGTGCCTGCCTTACAGAACAGCGAGATTATCGGAATAGTTGCAGTTTATTGTCACTAGATTTTACCTGATTACATTATTTTACATGAATCAACTGGAAGCAATCCTTAAAATTAAAATTATTGATTGGTTAACTCTTTAACTGTAAAGACACGACACAGTCAGCAATTGCTCCATGCACTTACCCTCGGTTCTGTAAGTCTTCTAAGTTGGAGGCATTCCACTCCGAGCCCTGAGGAACAAACAAAACAAGGTAATAGGGATTCAACCAAACACAACATCTAGTCAGGAGTCCTGTCAAGAGAGCAACAGGGCTTCTAAAAGAGATGAGCCATAGCATTTACTGAGTGCCTTCTAAAGAGGGAACTTTGGATATTATATTCCCTTTTGGGAAATAAAGAGAGTAAAAAAAAATCTTCATTTGTTACCGTTGAGAAAACCAATATTCTAAAATTTCAGACCTTTTTGCTCAAGATCACAGACCACTGTCTGATCTAAATTAGGTATCTTGTTTTATTATTGTTCATAATACTTTGTAGCCTATTAAGTATGACATAACATTATCAAAAGTTTGAAATATTGCAAGAATTACCAAAATGTGACACAGAGACATGAGGACTATGTTGTTAAAAGAACTGCACTGCTAGACTTGCTCAGTGGAAGGGTGTGACAAACCTTTAATTGGTGGAGAACCCAGCACCTGTGAGCACAGCAAGACACAGTATACCTAGTGACATCTCTCTCTCTTGATATATATTTTGTACACACATCATTTCTTTTTTAAAAAAAATTGTATTTTCTTACTTTTTTGTGTGTGCCGTCAAATCGGATCTGACTGGTACAGGAGGAAACTGCTCCTCCTTCTTCAGCTGAGCATCTGGCGGATTTGAACCATATACCTCTGGGATTGCAGTGTACCTTCTTGCCACTAGGCCACCAAAGTTCCCGGTAATGTGTCTATTTCTATCAGTATTTCCATCAAATGAGCATTAATAAGATGGACTGACATAGTAATGGCAACAACAGACTTAGTATGGTGGAGAGTGTAAGGGTGGGGTAAGTTTTGATCTGTACACACGGTCACTATGAGTTGGCACTAACAACAGTATACACACATACACAGACACACAAACATGTGTACACACAGATGCAGTTTGGTTGCTGCTGCAAAACTATATATAGTACTATATATATCTCTATATCTCTATATAGTAAAAGACTAGTACAACCACAAACCACTGCCACAAGGTCGATTCCAACTCACAGTGCCCCTCCACCAGGTTTTGGAGGCTGTCATTCTTTTCTGGAAGACTGCCCACCTTTCTCCCACAGAGTCACTGGTAGATCTGCACTGTTACACACTGCACCACCAGAGCTCCTTATGTATAACACGGTATTTAGTAAATCATTCTTTTGTACGTGTACAACTTAGAGGCATCAATGACTTTTGTCATCAGAAATAAAAAGTGCTATTATCTACAGAATGAATCTTCTTTTGCTTAGCCCTGGAATATTGTTGTTCTGTCAGTTTCTAAAAGTGGGACACTCTCATATTTCTACTTTCATAAGACTTACTGCATTAGCATATAACATATTGAATATTTCTTCATGGCTGCCTAATATTCCACCGTTGTTGTTGATTCCTGTGGAATCGATGATGACTCATAGCGACCCTATGAACAAAAGACCTGAAGTCTTTCTAGAACTACCATCTCCAAGTTCATAGAGTTGTCAAAGTCATGAGGTTTAGGAAGTGGATGCCACTTCTGCTTCCTGTCTTAAACTAGATAAATAAACACACACACACGCCACATTTTGTTTATCTACTCATCTGCTTATAAGCATTTGGGTTTATTTCACCTTTTGGCGACTGTCACTAGTGCTGCCATGAATACTGGCATGGCATTTTCTACTGCTGTTGTGCCTATCAAAGTTGGACAGTGAAAAAGGAAGACTAAAGAAAAGCTGTTATCTTTGAACTGTGGTCCTGGCAAAGGATACTAACTATTCCGCAGATCACCATGCTAAAGAAAAGAACAAACACAACTGTTTGGGACGTAGCACAGCAAGAATGTTCCTTTGAGGCGAGGATGGTAAGACTTCATCTCATACTTTGGGCATGTTCTCAGGAGTGGCCAGTTCCTGGAGAGAGGTATCACGCTTGGTCAGTGAGAAGAAGATGACCGTCAATGAGGTAGAGTGATGTGGCAGTAGCAACAAAGGGCTCCGGTGTGGCAGTGACTGTGAGGCTGGAGCAGGGCTGGGCTGGGGTTCATTTGGTTGGGCGGCTCTGAGTCAGTCAGAGTTGACTCAACATCATGGGACAACAATACCACCACCAGAAGCTTTGCAACAAGTATTTGTTTGAACATGTTTTAAACTTTTTTTTAACACATCTAGGAGTTGCATTGTTGGGTTATATAGTAATTCTAAGACTTTTTTTTTTAGAAATTACAAACTTTTCCAAAAGTGGATGCATCATTTTATACATTCACCAGCAATATGGGAGCTCTGGTGGCCTAGTGGTAGGAATCTACACTGCAATTCCAAAGGCATGCGGTTTGAATCCACCAGCGGCTCTGTGGGAGAAGGATGGGCAATCTCCTCCCGTGCAATTTACTGCCTCCGAAAACTCCTTGAAGGGTCACCTGTGAGTTGGTTCTGACTCAACAGTACACAACCCAACAGCATTTTATTAATTATTATAATTTCTGTGATGTTATACATTGGATATACGTGTGGATTCATTTGCTCTTGCTTGTATTCAATTTCCCCATTCTTCAACACAAATGATTACAAGATAGTAAACTTGGAAGTCTATCCCATCCCTATCCTTTGGATAACTATTTTCATCAAACCTACGTTAAATTTAGAAAAATTTAAGTAAATATATATTTATTACCACTATTTACTTATGTTGCCACTTCTTATATATATGGCTGGTACATTCCCTCTTTGAATGAGGAAATCTGAATAACTGCTTCATGTTAAAAATGATAAAAAAGCCCAGACTTAGGGCTCTTGGAGCCCCTTCAAGCTTGGAGCGGAACTCACTCTCAGGATCACTTTTTAGACAAAAAATAGATACGTTCATAAACAGCTGTGAGGAACCTACTCCTCAGGACAATCAACCACAGGAGACTCTGGTGGCCTAGTGGGTAAGGAGCTGTGTCGCCAATCTAAAGGTTTGTAGCTCAAATCTACCAGCTGCTCTGCAGGAGCCAAGATGGGTAATTTCCTATTAAATGTGTAAATGTGATTTACTGCCTCTGAAAAACAGCTGAAGGGTCAGCTAGGCACAATTCTGGCATATGGGAATGAGTTTGAGTTTGCTCCCTAACAAAGCTTAGAAGGCAGGAAGGGACAGGAGAGGAGGAGCGGGAATGAGGAAAACAGAGGGGAAGTGAGAAGAGCACAGTTATACAGAGGGGCACACAGTTAACATCACAAAACACAATGTGTGTGAATGGTTCAATGGAAAATTTGGCGGCTTTATAAACTTTCACCCAAACTGCAATTAAAAACAAACTGCATTCCCTGTTGTTTTTTTTTTCTTTTTTGTTTCCCGGGCAGTATTTCAATGGGTAGTGATAAAACAGTTTATTCAGTTAATCTCTTTTGAATGTTGTTTCCTATTTCTGGAAGTGAGATTACCGAGTCCAAGGGTAAATGACGTTTTGTTCAAACTCACTGCTGTTGAGACAATTCTGACTAAGACTAGCATTTCCATGGATAGAATGGACTAGAATGACTCCTGGGGTCTCCACATTGCTAAGTTCTCCACAGGAGCAGAAACCGTTCTGCATTCGCACCAGACGTGTAAGAGTGTAAGAGAGTGGTGCTTTCCTCACAACCTTGTCAACAAAAAGTGTGGAATAATAATAATAATAATAATAATAATAATAATAATAATAATAATAAAAATAAAGTGGGGGGGAAGTACGGTTAAGCTTTTGAATTTTTGCCAGTCTGATGGGTGTGAAATATTATCTCAGGATAGTTTCCATTTCTCTAATGATTAAAAGTGAACATCTTTTCAATGTTTAAGGCTCTTTTTCTTTTTTTAATTAACAAAGCCTTTGAACTATGTCTTTTGAAAGTACAACAGTGTGAAAAAGTGAATTCCATCATGCTTGTGAAGGTGGAAGGAGGGCAAAGGAGAAGACGACCCTCAACCAGGAAGGCTGACCCAGAGACTGCAACAACTGGATTGAGGGTGTTGGGGATCATGAGGATGGCACACGATAGGACAAGGTTCAGGCTCATTAATGGAATTTAACACTTAAGGTTTAGAGTTCAATTCCTGACTTCTCTTATTGTTTGACACTAGGCAAACTGTTTTCTTTGTAAAATGGAACATTTCCCACATTAGTTTTATACTCTTGAAGGATATTTCTCCTTCAAATTCCATTTACATTTTATGTCTCCCTCATATTAAGATATAAAAATTCCTCTCTTCATCCTGAATCTTCCTCTAGATACTGTTCTTTCCTCTTCATAGACATGATGCACAGAACTAGAATCTAATTAACTTTTCAGATTTTCTTCTTCCCATGGGTCTCAGCTCACAGCACCCCGGCTTCTTTCTATCCACTAGACTCTAAAGCTTTGGCCCTCACAACTCTTGCAAATGTTACAGGTGATCTTGTCTTATTTCTAATCCCATGTGGTCACTTTCATATCCTTATTTCACTGACATTCTCCTGAGCATCTGATAGAGTAGATGACTATTCTTCTGAAATTAGATCAGATTGCATACATTCCTAGCTTCACGCCTGGTGTAAAAAAGAGAATCAACAAACATCTATTGAATGAATAATCAAGGGTTATAAGTAAATGAAGCACTTGGGGAATGACCAGGTGGATGAAAGCACTGTCATATTGTAAGTAAGCTGTAATTTGGCTGTTGACCTGTGAGATCTCAGGGAGACTGTGAAGAAACTCCATTTAAAAGGTCAACAAATGATGGACAGCTGACCTTTTTTACAGACTAGAGTTTGGCTGACTGGCTCTCAATGTTCTGAAAGCTCTGTGCTCAACTTCAGAAAACTAGACCTTAATAAGAAATAGAGAAAGAACTACAACGGGCCTCAAGGAGACAGAAGACTGGCAATAGGAGCCAAATGGCTAAACTGGGGCCATGGAAATGTGACCACCTCACTTCTTAATTTAGAAATGTAAATCCCCTGCTGAACTGTGTACAGTTAGATGAAAATAAACCTGGTGTGATGG